TATATATATATATATATATATTTACTTACTTATCCTACCCGTATATATAATGTATTATTGATACGTATGATTATTCATACTAGGAGACGTATATATTTTTAGCTGTTTATTAGTAGATAGCAGGTTCACATCAGCATTAGCTGCCATTTCCTCAACCTGCTTTACCAAATAAAGGATGTATGTATGTATGTATGTAGGAAAAAGGTAGGAGAGCTGACAGGGAGTTCAGCCACCAAGACTTCACAAAAACAAAAGGCTTAAAGAGCAGCAGCTTTGTATGAAGAGAAAATAACAATAGCGGTTTTTGGTAACATTTTTTGTGTGCCTGACCACCCAATATTGAGTGAGCCAGCCGGCGTAATGAATGGATCATATAACTTACTTCTTCAAGTGGCCTATGTACAATTGTATATGCTTTTCCTACCTCTCAGTTACTCATTCCTTGTTTTTCATCTCGCGAAGGTTCTCGTCCTATTTGTCTTGACTCATTGACAAATCCACGAGCGTTGCATTGTAACCATTCTTTCCGTGGACCATGCATTCCGGAGACCCGGGACAAACATAAGTACAACAAGTGCCCGGTATGTTTTGAATTTGAAGATGTCGTGAAACGAAACCAGCCAACTGGAGAGATGACGCATTACCTTGAATCCCAAAGTGTTCCTGGCTATGAAGGTACACTTTGCCGAGTTTCACAACATAGCTGGCTGTTATTCTCAGTGATGTTTTATAATAAGCGCAAAAGCGCAAAGGTAAATCTCACGGCTACCCTATAAAATTGCAGCAAATGCATTTGAGGCTGTGACTTAGAGATGCAGTTGCTCACTGATTAACCATCTAGACTCTGAGTCTAAGAGCGATCCCAACCCGGAATTGTCTCCTGAGTTAAGCATTTGGGTGGTATTTTTATTCGGAAAATAACTCTTTCAATCTGAGAGAATGAATAGATACCAGTGAATTATCAGGAATAATAAAGAAACGCTGGATCGGAGTGAGGCCTGCAACAGACGTAAATGCTTTCTATATAATGTGTGCAGAAACCTGTCTGGAGCGTGAAAACTTTAAATGTATCTTTTACTTCTGTAAAAAATCAAGAAAACTTGTCTCATGGAGAACGGTGATTATTCTTGCTTCCTAAAACACACTTGGGAATTTTTCCATTGAACAACAACGACAAAAAAAACGAACAAATAAACAAAAAGCACACAAAAACTGCTACAACAAAGAACAGCAACAGCAAACAAAAGACTTTCAGTTGCAACTCAGATACCTCGATCGTCGACTTTGGCCTCCATCCAAGAATTGAATAGCAGGGTACTTTTTCATGCAATCCTTTCAGATTCAGATGGTGTAATTCGATCCGTGTTTTGTGTGTCATTTGCGTTACTGCGCCTTTTTTTCAGGTTATGGTACAGTTGTCATTGAGTATGACTTTCAATCCGTAATTCAAGGCTCGGAACATCGTAATCCAGGAGTTCGTTATCGAGGTACAAAACGCCAAGTATATCTCCCCAGTACGGAGGTAGGTAAAGAGGTGTTACAGCTTCTGAAGAGAGCCTTTGATGCACGTTTGGTTTTTACTTATGATTGTAACTTCTGGTACTACAGGTCTTCCGAACCAGATAGTATGGAATGGAATTCATCACAAAACCAGTAGACGAGGGGGGTGCCGAGGGTAAGGGAACATACGTGTTTTTTGTTGTTGTTGTTTGTTTGTTTGTTTGTTTTTTATTATTCAAGCAGTGAAAACGGGAACGTGTTAATTTGTATTGCATTTATGTGACAGCTCATCAAAAGTAGGATATGGATCGTGCAACTCATGATCAAATATCACAGCGGTTAATTAACTCTCGGAATCTGCGCCTCTATTGTTATTAAAGACATTTTTTCAACCTATTTTCTCTGTAAATTTGCTTCGTATGTGTACATGTTATCGGGGACACATTATTTAACCACTCAAAGTATAGTATCATGCTAATGTTTCAAATCTATCAATATGCTGTATGGCATCTTGCTACTTCTGGGATGATAAAGAAGCTTTTCTTTTCAACTATATGATAACCAAGAGGTGGAGATGTCTGGAAGTTGTCGAAATCCACCGTCTGAACCAACCTACCCTTTGGTTCCCCATCGTCATGATGGAAAAAGTTAAAAAAAAACAGCTGCATTTTTTTTTTTGCGGCAAGGTTTGGGTATCCAGACCCAGATTATCTTCGGAAGGTCAAGGAAGATCTGGCTACTAAAGGAATCCGCTGACAAAAGAGATAGAAATCTCCACTTTTACTATAGTAACCTTCGAATAAACCAATTAATTAACAGTATTAGATGGACTGATAATTTTTGTACTCTTGTGAAAACGATTTTAAGAAAATGTATTTTGAGTTTCAGCGTAAGTCTACATGACGATATTGTCATTATGCATCAAAGTTAGCTATAATTTCATTTTTGAACCTCGTTTTTCAAGTTGTTCGCAAACTCCTCCGAGTCTTCCGGCTAAAAACATTATCAGCAAGGACAAAGGAGGTATGCACGGAAAATCATCGGAAAATGTTGAACAGCTTGTATCGCATGCAAGGACTAAAAACAAAGTGAGTCGAGGCCTCACAGGTGTCGCCAGGCAGGTGTTTATAGGTCGTGAATGCCGTCACTCTTTTTTTTTATGATTCTTAGAAAACTAGAGTGATGGTTTATATCGATTTATTTACCATCACAATCATCACAACTTTAACTACGGGCAGATTCATTAGCATGAACCAGCATACAACTGTTTCAAGCAATTTAGGTTAAAACTCGTCTTGATCAAAACACGAGTGGTAAACGTATCTCAACTGGAATGACATTGGAAAGTTTACTCAACTGTTAAAAATACTTTCAAATCGATTCAAGAGAACAAATGGCTGACAGATTTACGAGACTACTATAGATGTCTGATTTTTGTTAGAGGGTTGAGTGGTTCTTAGATAGGTGCCCAATCACTAGATAAAGTAGGTATTCTGTGAAAGGCACATTCTAGTACGTAAATCTTTTACATCAGTGAGTTATTGACCCCGATACATGATGTGGTGTAGGGGGAGAAAATTGAATTATGTTAGTTTTACTTGGATTGTATACGCTATCGCTGGTTAAGATTTTAGAAAATTCAATGTAAAAATTGTTTTGTGATGTGTTTTTTATAAGGACTGCGATTTTCGTTTTCGTTTAGTCAGTTTGCCACTCAAACAAATTTACTTCGCACAACTATCAAAAGTGAATATCTTTTATGTTCAACCAGAGCGTGTTTATAAGGGCCCCCTGGAGCAAAAGAAAAGATGAGATACGCTGGGAACGAGGTTGCTTCGTGACTGCATATACCGAGATTACCTTTCTTGCCCAAGGTTTTCAATTCTTCGCTTATAAAACCTACCGATGGGTTTATTTCCCTTTCCTTTCTTCTCGGCTGTCTCTGTTTTGAAATAAAGAGCCGATACCGCGCCTGCCTTTGTAATTGAATGGGATAAAAGGATGTGGGTCAAGGGGTCCTAGGTTCTAGTGTGCTCAGAGCTCCTTTTATCGCCAATACCGTAACGTGAGACTGTTATTTCAATTCATGGTACGCCATGGCTGAAAGCAAGAACTCTTTAGATGATAGAAAGGAGGAACTACAATGCCCTGTACACCAAGAACAATTCAGCGAGAAGAACGGAAAAACAGTAAAAAATCAATCATGCATTAAGGGCTCTATGTAGTAACTACTGGACTTCTCGACCTTCGCGGCTATCAGGCAAATAAGCAGTACGATGTTTACCACTGTACCAAAACGTGAAATAAAATTTTGGACGTTTGAGTGAGATTAAGTGTTAATTTGGCTGAGATTTTTATGTGCTAATTAATCAAGGGTGAGCACTTTCAAATTGGGTGGGAGGGGAGCACTAATCAAAGGTGACCTTAATCAGGTAGAGCGCGGGAGGGGCGCTAATCATGGGGTAGTGCTTAACCAGGGATGAGGCGGCGAGGAAGTCAATTAAAGGCGAGGGGAGGAGGTGCTAACCAAGAGGAAGCCCTTAATTGGTTGGGGGGGGGGTGTCTCATACTAGTTTGATTGAGTTAATAATAACAGCTGGGATTAGGACAAACTTGCTCTAAAATGAAATTATAGGTATTGTGTCACTTTTGGTGATCAGAAGGTTTTTTAAGCTGTTGATAAAAAATGCCATAATTTTTGTTTGAGAAAAAGTTGCGGAGACATGAAGGAGGAAATTTCCATTGAAGTAGAATTAAAAAGTTTTGACAGTCTCATATACACTACAAAGGTCAAGAGGCAGCTCTTGAGTATGAAGTACACTCCCCCCGCCCCACTCCCTCTCTGACATCATTCCTAGACAGAAACAACCATTGAAAAGAAATGAATAAATTAAGGGCTGCTAGATCCAAAAGCAATAAGTATCACTATGTTTTGAACTTTTAGGTATGAGAGGATTTTGGCTTTTTAAATCTCAATTGGAAATTGTAGATTGAAAATACTGGTGACACATAAGGCACCCATCATAAACCAAATAATCTAACACTTTCTTTACATATCTTGCTGGCTGCCAACTTTACCTTTCATGCATTTGAAATCCAAGACAGACTACTATGGCAACAACAACAACCGTGCATGTTATTATTCAATAGCATTTTAAAAGGAAAGCACTGAAGCTTGAATGAGATTTTTAAATAAGGTGTAATTAAAATTTTATCAGTTAGTCCTTGTCCTGTTCCAACAGAAAAGTAAGGCTCTGTAAAGGTTACATGTAGAACACCAAGACGGAAATCTGGAGGCAGGGTATTTATCGAATACTTGAACTCTGGATATCTGAGTAGTGGCGTAGAATTCTGAAACCTTTCCGCAACAGTTCCATCAAGCTGATGTTTTACGTCTAACATTTTCCTTACGTCATTTGTTTGTAAAACTTCTCTACCATGTCTTGTGCTCTTGTACATTAGTCGGAACTTTTCGACGAGCTTCGACAACTCATTTTTTATGGCCTCGTCGTAAAGTGACTTTTCTTTTGCCAACTTTTCTGTCATCATTTCTTACTGTTGACGAAGAACATTGATAATACCTTCCGTCACGCTATGAACTTCTGCCGCCACTTTATCGATGCTATTATTGTATTTCGCTTTTCTTTCACTTAAAGACTCAAAATGGTTCTTCAGAAGAAAAGAATTCTCTTCAATATCTCTCAAGCTACTTTGGATAATCCCTCTCTGCTTATTTGCTCCATCTTCAAGCGACATGATGTTGTGATCTACCGGATCTCGATGTTCCGTAATGGCGCATTCTGAGCAAATGCAGATTTCGCACGGTTGACAGTAGAACTTTACGAGTACTTCATGTCGTTTACAAACGTTTTGTTCATTTGATTCGAGATTAAGTCCTTTATCCGAATCACCATGAGCTTTCAAGATATCTCCTAGTCTCTTGTGTGCAAGGTTGGACGGTAAGCGGTCAATGTTGTTGTTGGGACATTCGGTTATAACTCAACAGTTTGGGCAGCTCAAACCTTTCCCAATCTGCCGACGCAACCAGCGCTGGAGACAAGACTTACAGAAAGTATGTTGACATACAAGAACTTTTGGTTGATTGGTCTCAGTAAATTGCTCCTGGCAGAGGGAGCATTCCAATTCTTTCTTGATAGCATCATAAAGAAAGTTCTCACATCCAGCCATTAATTCCCTCCGAGACAATAGGCTCTGGCTGTCGTGTAAAGGCTGTTTTTCTCAGAAAAGCGGAAGTTGTTCGTCTTGCCACGCTTACTGGTACCAAGGACCCTTCGGTCTCATTCTATTATAGAGCAACTTCTCCACAGAAGTGACGGTTCTTCAATATTCTATCGTGTTAGGACGGAAGCTTGGAAATCAAAGAAACTTGTGTAGCTCGGATTGGCATTCTACTATTCTCAGCCGCTCATTATTACTGTTCGCCACAACGGAAGTGGTGTCTGTTCAGCTCAAGACATTCAGAGCGGGTGGGTTAGCGCCGTTTCCGAGAAATCCGACACACTGCTACCTACAATTTCCAGTACCTGAAGGTTATAGTTGCTCTGTACAGAGATGGACACACGTCAAGGTAAACACGATAGAAAAAGTGATATTCAGCTAAATACAGTTGTCTAATCNTGACCTTTTCGTGCCCTCTGTCTGCTATTTTGCTCATTTCATGAACACATGAAATTCCCTTCTCAAGACTAGTAGAAATTGTATAATTGTATTTCTTCCTCTGAGGAACGAAATACCTTTAGTCGGTTTGTACAAATACTTTTTTCTAAGTGTATTTATTACAATTCTATTGAAAAAATGCAGAGTATGATATGAATCTAGACAATTTAAATCAGGAAAACCACTTATACTGCAAAAGTTGAATTATCTGTTAAATTTGTGATTCAAACCATGACAGTTCCGTCTCAACGAAATATTTGTCGTTATTGCATCTAATGAATTAATGATTTGACAAAGCTTTACAGAAAATAATTTGACCCTTACACCGGTACACCCTAACATCAGTAGGCATATTCTCCATACTGTCGTCTATACATTTTCTAACGCGCTGACAAGGAGAATTTGTTTGGCAATTAAGAGCTTCTTTAGTTAGTGATCATTTCCTTTATTCTCATGACCCTAATGTTTGATTCTGGGGTGATATTTCCCGGGGGGGTACTCCCTTATAAGGGCTTAATGGGGACGTGCGGCCAGCCAGGGTATGTTTTTCGAGATTTTTGTCTTAAACAGGGTATCGAATTTATCATTTTTTGTCTTAATCAGGGTATCGATTTATCAATTTTTGTCTTAAACAGGATATCTTTTCTTGGAAGATAAACAGCAAATTTTTACAAACTCTAATTTTAATTAGTATTGAATTCCGATGATTTTGGCATTGATACCAGGCACATTAAATGTCTTAAACAGGGTATCAAAAATCAGAATTCTGTCTTAAACAGGGTAGGAAAATCAGCAATATTTGTCTTAAACAGGGTCAGGGTTTGAGGGGCTGCGCCGCACCTTCCCACCCAGGAATATATCGAGTACCCCCTGGGAATTTACGTAACTGTGTTAACCAATTAAATCTAAGCGCCTGCCAGAGCCTGACAGGTAAAACAAATATTTCTTTGAAGTACAGACGTCTCAATACTATAGATTTCATAAAATACTTTCTACTACATAGTTTCGGTAACAACCTGGTGTTTGTAATAGAGACATTGAATAGTTATAAATTCAGTATTCTGTCCATGCACCAGGGTGGGCTGTACTGATGCATTTCAACAACATGGTAGACGTTTTTCGAAAACAGATCTTAATTCTTTACTCTTGTGATTCTTATCCTTAGTGCCTTTTTCTGTTATGGTTTTCCACCATAATAGGTAATTCCTGTCATAGGGACAAACTGAGTTCTCTTCTCAATACTGCAAATTGTGGAAACAAATGTTGATATGAATGCCCAATACATTACTTATGACTATTCCACCTCAGCTACGCTGTTACACCCAAGAGGAGTAAATTCCTCATTTAGCTTTATTTATCTGTAGATGGTTTAACCATTAATCTAAGCCAGTTTCAGTTACTGCAATCTCCTTGCATCAGCCGTGGTGAACTTTTAAGGTGTCTAATTCAGTTGATGATTATCCTTTAAATCTGGATTGGTGATACCACTTGTTTTAGTATAACCAAAACCTCAAGTGGTCTTCTGCATATGCTATTCCTGGGCAAATGTATAACAAATAGTTTATCAAATGTGAGAAAATGCTAGGAAATTAAGTTAATTGGTGGCTGCAGCACTTCAGTCTCTTATTCGTTATATCTTTTTCCAGACTATATGTACCAGCTGTAAGTAGCCTATAATGTTTATTATAATCTTGGTAGAATATTATGATAGGCAGATTTCTGCAATAATAGGAATTGTTAGTAGTTTAACTGTCCACCAATAATTGATTGACATTTTGTTTATATACTTGCTGGATGCAGTGATTGGCTGGTAGTCAGGCAATTGTCATCTTAACTAAGATGTACAGGTATACATATTTATGGCAAAGATATTTTCAAGTTCACTAATACTTCACTGATGCTTGAATGATACTGCTGATAATATTTGACTATCACTTTCTACATTGCTTTGCATCCTTCAATTGACAATGAATGACTTAACTCTATGGTCTCATGCTTTAACTTTGTCCCTTTGTCCTAAGACACAAGAGTAATATTGATGTTCAAGGGGCTCTAGACAAAGCTCGCTACTTCCTTTAAGGCCAGTCATTAAGTGTTTTGATACCCCCCAAATCAAAATGAGAGCAGACCTATAGTTGTGGAAATTGCTTAATATGAAATTATTTTGATTCTTAATATCAGCTGGTATGTCAGCTGTTACACAAATTTGCTAATGGTTTCGAGGTACATGATCAGTGGCTGATTACTAGTGAGTTGAAAGTTTACGTTGTCATTTTGCAATAGAGTTAGTAAGACTTTTTTTGCACTGAAAGTTATTTTAAATTTATTTAATAGTGAGTTTTGACCCATAGAATATGAGGTGATCTCCTCCAATCAAAAAACATTTGATTGGGAGGTATAAGTACAAGAATTTGACGTTCATACTTAATGTAATGTTTTCTTTTTGTGAGACAGACATCATGGGTTGCTCGGAATGACAGGATAAAGATTGTGGGAGTTGACTGAAAAATAAAAATTGATCATTAGCGGGCAGAATTAAGTTCTAGCATTATTACAGGCTGATAACAGTCAATCCATCCAGAATGGTCCGTATGCATTTACATGTGAGCATGCAATTTTCCATTCTTGCTGGTAGCTTTTATTAGTTAGTCCCCCATCCTAAACCTCTTCAGTTTGACCCATAGCCAGTGACTGTGTTGGCTTTGTTCAAGCATGACAGTAGAATTGCAGACTGAGGTGACTTATAGGCCACATTGCTTTTTCCTTTTCTTGCCTGTAGTGACTCCTACCTGGTCCACTTCCAAAACTTCCAAAGCGAGGTCATCTAGCACTATCTTATATATACATGGCATCTTTGTAAAGCAGGTTATTGATTTTATCAGTTGTAATCAGCCTTTTCTTGTAAGCATTTTTTTTATCCTTTTTAGAAATTGTACCTGAACGGAAAAGATGTGTTTAAAAAATAATTGTTTGCAGACATCTTCACAAATGTGTGTAGCATGAACACTTCTCATACGTGAAAATATGTTTTTGAGGTTGAGACAGAACTAAATTTTATCTTTTTCCATTTTTAGGTGGGAATGGGTGGGGGGAAGGGGGTCTGGGCCAGGGAAGAGGCTACAGTGTGGAAGAAGGGTAGGTATGTGTTGTTCCCTTGGACTCATTCCTTTGTTGGTATAGCTTTAGACATAATTCTGATACTAGCAAATTTTAGAATTTGCCAATATGAGCAATATCCTCTGTTTTACCATTTATCTGTCTTTAAGTTAATGTAGTAGGTAAAAACTGGAAGGGTTAATGGGGAAAATGAGAGGGGGAGAGGATTGAAGGAGAAGTAAAATAGTAGATTTGGCCCATGTACCCTCGCAAGCCCCTCTTTTCACTCCATTCTTCTCTGATTTTTTCTGCTTCCAATAAGTACTGTTATGGAACAAAATCACCTCTAAAAGTATATAAACATAATTGTACATCATGTAACTATTTCTTTGCTCTTTTGAATAAATTTTCCACTTTTTACTCTTCTCTTTAGGGTGGACAAACATACAGCACAGATGTCCAATATGCCTTGAGAACATGGTTAAACCCCAAACTATTAAGTGTGGTCATGTATTTTGCCAAGATTGCTTAAGTCAAGCTCTGAGGATATTAAATGTTTGCCCCATTTGTAAGGAGCCACAAGGAATCGTGACAGGGAATCAACCACCAGGGCAGATGACTTCGTCCACTCTGCATTCCAGTCTCCCAGGTTACTATGGTATGTTGTATTATTATTTTATGTTGCAGGTAATTTTTGCTTTTAGTTACATTGTAATTATATTTTTTAACTAGGTAAATGTTTTTATCCTGGGTAAAGTTTTTCTCCCTAGTTAAATAAGTTTCATTGTTTTAAGGTAGGAGGTGAGTTTGGGTCAGAATAACTTACCATATAACACAATTATTTTACATTTGGGACTCAGCCTTGCAGTTTTAGAGCTGGGTTTAGGGTTAGGGTTATGGAGACATATGTCAAATAAATTGCTTGTAATACATTGCTTCAGTGATTAGTCCTTCTGTAACATGCATTAAACTGGAAATCATTTTCGGTCCGTTTTTGTTTTTGTCTCATATTTTTGTCTCTTAATTTAATTCTGTTTAAAGTAGTCTGAGTGTGACCGTGTCTTTAAGATGCAGAATCCCCAGAAAATAACAATTGTTGAGGCAGTTAACTATTTGTTAAACTTAAGGAAGAAGTGTTCCTATAAAGCGTTGAGAGCAGCAGCTGTTCTGGAAAATAGCTCTTCCCATGAGCTCTAGTGTTGCTGCACCAAATGTATGAAATTTATTTGTCAGAAATCAACAACGGTATTAACAAATTATATTTGCTGCGTTCAAATAGGTTATAAGACTCACAGTATCTTTATGATAAACATAATTTCGATTCGATGTTGTTCCTTATTTCTTCCTCATCAGGATGTGGTACCATCTGCATTCACTATTCTTTTCAATCAGGAATTCAAGGCCCAGAGCCCCCAAACCCTGGTCAGCGGTACAGTGGGACGCATCGTACTGCGTATTTACCTGACAATCCCGAGGGTAGAGAAGTCTTGCAGCTGCTACATAGAGCTTTCAATGCACGTTTGGTTGTCACTGTGGGAACCTCCATAACAACGGGACTACCCAATCAGATCACGTGGAATGATATACATCACACGACAAATACATCAGGTGGTGCCCACGGGTAAGTTGTGAAAAAGTTTTTAAGCAATGCGTCAATTACACAACAACGAGGCTACAAGCCCACAAAAAGAAGGAATTCATCGGAAAATATGCTTGAACAGTCCTCTGTGTTTGTGTCCTCTCAGTGTCGCCATTAAGAGAATCGATATTCGTGTGAATGAAGAACCTTTACTGTTTGCTAAAAAAACTAATTGAAGCAAAGCAAGTGTTTTCTGCAACATTAGAGAGTGTATTATTATGCTATGGGTGTATTATTATGCTGTGGGTGCAATTGAGTTACCTTTGTTCTGCTTTTTCAGGTTTGGTTATCCCGACCCACATTACCTTCAACGAGTTAGAGAAGATCTTGCGGCAAAGGGAATCCGTTGATCTGGTTGGCCGCTGTCTGCAGCATTGAGAAATAAAATATTGTATGCGATGTTGTGAACGTCACGAAGGGCGTGCCAATCATTGGTGAAATGACTACTTAGAAATAGACAACTATTCGCATATTGTGATATGTTCAGCTTACCCTACAACCATCGACTGCCACATATTCCTTTGTGAAGGAAGAAGAGAGACCGAACAAAATTTCGTTGATTGTGTAATGTTTTCTTATGTTTTGAAGGAAATGTCGCTTGAACGTTTTTCAACACAACGATGTAAGTTATATTTTACTTAGTGTTGCATGTAAAACCTGATCAGGTAGCATTTCAATAAAAAATTGGCTTTTTAACGCTTATTTTTCGCTTTTTTTTAATTACCAAGTTAACGTTTGTTCCAATAGTTACGATTTCTTAGTTTAAAGGTAACCCTCGATCTTATCGGAAAATTTGGGGTTCGGTCTGATCTTAGGGTCACCGTTCATTTTAGGTTACCACAACGCTACCACGATGTGTATAACACTTTACTGCATAAAAAAAACAGGAAGCGTCAATTTCAACCCACGATATAACTTGAAACACTCCTCGTCAAGATATCCTAGACATGAAGATTAGTCTGGTTTGTCTGCTGTTGCCCTAAAGGGTCTCTGGGGAGCCTCAGAGAAAACTGTAGATCAGTTTGGCCTTTCTATAGAATACAAGACCGTGACAAGTTCATTTCGAGTCTCAAAGACTGAGGGGCTCTTTAAAACTATTACTCTTAATGTTATGGACAGTTTTTATTAAAGACTTAGCACAAACGAGATATACTGTTAGCCTCATTCAAAACCTTAGAATACCAAGACTTCGCTTTGACGAAGGACTAACGCTCGAAACGTCAGCTTTGGAACTCTTAACGGTGGCCAATGCACATTATGAACTCAGTTGATCACACCAAAATACTTGTTACTCCTACCGACGCAGCACTAAAGTTTCATTAGAAAGTTATTCCCCTTTATTCTTAAACCAAAGATATGCTTAAGTACCCATCTGACCCGCCGGTCAGCCAGGGGGTACGTACTACATCATTTGAGTTTCATTCCTTACCAGAAAAGATCAGATCAACGTCCACTTTGGACTATACAATCTCTCCTTGGTACTCTGCTTAAATTTTGCCAACAATTTTTTGTAAGACAACCGATATGAGTGTCTATTGAGAAGATAGCTCTCGAGATCTGGAATATTGGCATGTCTATGCGAAATTGTAAATCCGGATTAGAAGTGTAGGTGAGGACCATGTATGTTACAGTAGCTGTGATAGACTATCGAAGTAATTCCCATCTTCCTCCTGAACATTCGTTCATCTCAGTTTGAGAACCGTGGCTCAAATAGAAGAGGTGTTAGAAAAAGAATAACGAAATAGATGATGAAACAAATAAAAAGAGAAACGATAATAAAAGTGGTCCTAAGAACTTAAACAACAGTGATATGTCATAGAGACAAGTTACATGAACAACCTCAAGTGGGGAAAAAATTGAGAACGCCACACGGCTGTATCTTAGTTATTTTTACCGCAAAAGGTGTCACCTCAGAAGAAATATCATTAAAATAGAGCGAGCAGAAATCGGCTAATGTTGGGAAGATCGAGCAGGCTAAAAGTAATAAGGCTAATTCCTTTGAAATATTTTTTTAGCAATTCTAATTACGCTAAACAAGTAAGCTACCTCTCCCCTAGTTTGTGCATCAAATTTAGTTTACTTCCTTCGGAATTGCTGTTTCTACAATCTTTTTACTTGATGACCTTTTCAGCCTCTTTTGTAACAACTTTTTTCAAAAGTTTTATCGCAATCAGCAAATGCCAAACAACAAAGCAAAACAAATCGAAAAAGTGCAAAAAAACAAAAAAACAAAAAACAAAAAAAAGCAAAAAAAAAAAAAAAACCACCACCGTTCGTTACTGGAAGGTTATCAGGTACTCGGGATAAGATTGCGGGTCCTGAAATACCACGAAGATCTCTGGGTTGGGAATTTGATCCACGACGCTGTCGTATGTATCTGTAGGGTCATTTAACGTTTTGGATGGAGGGACTATGATGTCTTTCTTCCCCACTGTGTAATCACCGACCAGCACCCTTGCGAGATACATGTGTCGAAAGCCTGTTGGACCAGGTGGTGAATACTGAGAACTTGCGGAATAACTTGCTTCTTTAGCGAAGTAAACGCCCTTTCCATAAAGGTTGTCTGGAAACATACAGTATACTACGTTTAATAATATAGACAGAGTTTTGTTTTTAGCGACAGAGCTTTTTCTATAATTTCTTCTTGGCTATGGAATCAATTGCCTCTTGAACTCAGGAGTATTACCTCTAAAAGTGTTTTTATTATTATTTATCATTACTATGATAACGGTTTAACACTGCATTCAATCAGTTTTTTTATTTTTGTTCAAAAGAAATCTTTTCATCTTTACAGACCATTGATTCCCTACGAGATGCAAGGTCACCAAAGCATTATGCCTCTTGACTTTCATATGTCATACAAATCTCTGTTGATAGACGGATGCTTTAAAAGGGAAGGAAAATCACTTTGGCTAAACAGTTCAAAGAAAAGATAAGAGTGCAATCCGTTCTTGTCGATATCTTGATTATCCATATTTGTGATATATTGTATTTGGTAAATTGTCCTCATTTGTTTCAAGCGGTTATGGGCCTTTGAACTTTTTGAAGATTGCCTCTTTCAAATTTTCACCCTTCCCCCCCCCCCCCGACCAAAATTGCGTTTAAATGCCCCGCCCAACTCTAAAAAAAAGTTTTGTTTGATAAAAGAATGTCATCAAGCATACGGAGTTTTGGGTGCTGCTGCTGGACTTTTTGCTTGAAAATATCATTCTACGACATGAAAATCATCCGCCATCTAAGCCATTCGACTCTTTGCCTTTAAATATTTTCCATTAAAACACTTGTATAACGCTGGAAGGACTTGACATTTCCGTTTCAAATGCCCCACCACGCCCAGGAAAGGTTCAAATTTTCCATTCTCCGGGCACAAGACAATTTTCGTTTGCTCGTGGGTTACCCCATGGGGATGGTGACGCTTCGAGTTCATCAACGCCTTTTAAAGTAGGTTCTGTTGACTGACAGCCTGTTCCTCAAGTTGTAATCCATGAGATTTGGTCAAAAAGCCCTTTTTAGAGACAGGTCTGGGGTGATGAACAATCTTTGACTCTTATTGCTCGGGATACTCTCAATTATTGATTTATAATAGAAACTGTACAGATTTTCAGCCTAGCAAGTCACCTTCACTCCCGAACTGCGCCATTGTTAACTTACTTCTTTGCCAGCTATAACTCCTATTGAAGCCTTTGTGATTAATGGCTCGACAGTTATCCTCTGTTGTTCCATGAAACAGCAGCATTTCATTGCTCCCATTGACAGACTCGTCCATCTTTTGTTGCTGAATGGCGTAAATTCCAAACGCAGCTGTATTTTGAATTCTTTCTATTTTGACGATTTTCTTTTGGCAGGTTGCTTTGAATAAATCGCTGACCTTCTTGTACTCCTGTACATGCGACGCAGGTTTTATGTCGACAATATGCACCTTCTTATCTTGTGGCTGAGGATCCCAATAATCCGGAACGTGAGGGTCTGTTTAATAGACGAATTAATAGACAACAAAACAGATGCAATTTTGGTCAGTAGACCTGTCAAAAGGTGACGAAAATATACGAGATGGGTGGACTTACGCGACGAAAATGTCACTTTTACTTGTACAGAGAATTTCGATTTCGATCATTTGCTATAACCATACCCGTAAAAAATTTTGTGACCTATAGAGATAGTATAAGACTCATCGTAATGGAACTAGGTGAAATAAATGAATTTAAAAATGCACTGTAAGGATTTGGAATGGGTGAATTTCTGTGTATGGGAGGATTGTATACCCTTCAGTTACGGCTAACCGCCTCCCGGTTAGCTCAATGGATAGAGCGCTGGACTGTTGTGCGGGAGGTCGAGGGTTCGAGTCCCGGCCGGACCAACACTCAAGGTCTTAAAATAATTTAGAAGAATGTGCTACCTTTCTATAACATCAAGAAATGGTTAGATATTCTAGTCTTCTCGGATAGGGACGAATAAATGGAGGTCCCGTCTCCTGCAGGGTTAGGGGCAGGAGACGTTAATTTCCCACGCACAAGATTACTGTGTAATGGATGTCCTCCCCTGGGATGGGATGGGTTGGTAACAGGACCCCCGTTGATACCAGTGTTTCCCTACACTGAAGGGGCTATCCTGTATTAAAAAATATAGATGTCTAATCTCGTTTTAACAAGCTTTGTTAGGAAACAAACATAATTTATGTTTTCAAATGTACAATTCCAAACAATTTTAAAATTTAAGTAACTCACCTCCACCCCGGTTACACCTCTTGATTTCTGTGCTTTGGCCATTTTGGCTTGTCTCTTTCATGGCAAGGAAAGATATTTCGTAGAGCTCTCCCTCCTGCACGACGGTGACTGTTCCCTTGTTTTCCTGGTAGGCGATTTCGATTTTAGTGTTGAGATCACTCTCGTAATTTAGAAACCTATTGCCAAGCTTGAACTTCCACTGGACATTCTTCGACAGTATCTCTGCTCGAAAGCGTTCATTTTCGTCTTTCTTTATTTGATCGAGGAGCTCATGGATCTCTGAAGTTACTATGAGAATATCTTCTATTTGCCCACATAACTCTATGCGATCAAACTCTTTTTCTACCACAGCCTTAACGCTGTATCTTAGCTCAAGGGTGTGAATTTTTGACAAATGCTCTTCGGTCAAACGCCCGATTACTTCATCGCTGATAACGTTTTGGCCAGAATTCTCAGCCATCAGATCATTAACTTCTTTTGAGGCTTGGCGAAGATCACTCTCACTGCCAGCATATATAACGAGATTTAGCTTTGTGTTGTCAACGTTCTGAACATCCGACGTCGCAGTGCTTGCCTCATTCCCACCAAGTCCAATGAAGCCAGCTACTGTTTTAAGCCCAGAGGTGAATTTATGAAGTAATCCTGGTTCTGCTGGAGGGCTTTGACCTGATGCTTCAAACAATGCTGAACGAATATCTTTGATCATGCTTTTCTGGAAAATCGTCATTTTGACAAGTTGCATGTGCTCAGGCCCTTGGTTAGCAAATTCGCGGACTGCAGACAGAATTGAATGTGCACAAGACTTTGCTGAAATGTCAAGGGCTCCAGTCCCAATGGCCGGAAACGAAATGGAGGTGACTTTTCTTTCTTCAGCCTTTCGGAGGCATTCCAATACGGAGGCTTTGATACTTTTAGCAGTAATAGGTTCAATTGGGACGATATGGAAGAGGAATTTTGCTTTTAAGCGTCCTGCTGTTGTAGCAACAACGGAGCCTGGTCTTTGGGGATCGTATTCAGCGCACGCGTCGCTAATGGAGAGGCCCCCTCTGTTAAGAATGGCTGCTCCCGCTCCATGGCCAACTGAGAGATCTAAGGAAGGATTATTGATAACGGCAATGGCATCTGTTGAATCTTTTGTGATGTCCCCATGTTGAACTTGAAAGGAGAGTAACCCGATGGTTGTCTCTAAGTGATCCGGATTTCGTTCGGTTACCGGAGAGAATGAAAGACTGGCAGTAGCTGATGTGTTGGTGACGCTGACTTGGGAGGCCTTACTTTTACGGCCAGCATTCTTCAGCCTGTTCTCTAACTCTACATCAAAGGCCTGGACGGTCGGGGTGTCTTTGTCATATAACACAAATCTTATGTCTTTCAGTTTAGTATTTGGGTTCCTCTTACTGAATGATACTACTTCGTCGAAATAGATTTTTGCAACCTGATCTCGAGGAAAGCGAAGTATCCCAGTACCAATAGCAGCAAAAGCAATCGATTTGGCATTTTTTCTGTCTCCTTCTTTCAAACACTTCTTTATCAGGTCTATCAGAATCTAAAATATTTTTAAAAAGCAATTATTACCGTAACGACAATTTTGCTATGTTTTGAAGCATAACGAGAAAAAAAAGGAATGAGTGAAGTTTACCTACATTCAATCCCTCTTTTTCAAACAATGAAAGCCACAAATAAAAAAGCTTTCATTGGGTTTTTGTGAGAAAATCCTGTTTTTAGTCTTAAACAAGTGGTCTATTCAGCAAGCAATTACCTGTCTTCCTTTACCATTATCCCAGTCCGAACATATGGCAAAGATGACTGCTTGGCATTTCAAACCTCCGGTATGCTGTAGCACCGCGATGTTACCTTCAGAAACAGCTTTTTTCTTATCACATTCGTCTTGCAAACATTGACCAGCCTTTTTGCTGAGCGCCATCGCACAAGGATTCTGGTCAAGTTTGAGATTTCCTGCCGCTGTTCCAACCAAGATATCAGCCTGGGAAGAAAAAGATCAGTAAAAGTATTACAAAAAGGACGATAAGAATACACAAAATAATCTAAAAGACAAAGGGCTTTACAAAGGAAGCTAATAACATAAAACTAATTAAGACACGCCAAGACCGGCAGCGGTAGATTCACTACAGCTCCTCGCTCTACACGGGTGGTTCACAACGCTGTTGAGACCTCTTTTACCAAATATGTAACTTACTTACCCGTTCTTTAGCGAGATCTCCACCTTTTAGGGTGATTTGAATCCCCTCCTGCGTTGTGAAAGAATTCGAAGCTCCTCTGGGTCGCAGCGTTGGGATCGCGCGACCAGACCTTTCCTCAGCAGTGAAATTATTCTCCTTGGAAAATCGTTTCCTCATTTCATCCGAGAAAGCAATGACTGTAGGCTTGTCTTTGTTAACAAGATGAATCTCTGATAAATGGCAAGACGGATTATCCTGGCAGAATTCTACGACAGCATCTAGTATGACTTTAGCACAAAGGTCACGCGGTACGCCAAACACGCCGGAACTTATCGCTGGAATAGCTATTGTCTTCAGACTTGCGGCTTCCTTTAGGCTATTCTTAATGGCCAGCTTAAGCACGCGTTCTTGTCTTGTTTCGATGCCATCTCTTCGAAGTCTTTCTGCTGTGAAATCCCATTTAGGCCCAACTGTGTGGATGATTTGACTGCATGGTAACCTTCCTGCAGTTGTAACTAGTGTCCGCCCCTCTAAAAGACGGCCTATATCTGCAACAAACTGGTCACATTGACGCTGGATATCGCTTCCACCCTCCCTGACTATCTCTGCAGCCAAACCTCCGGCATGTTGTAAATTTTCATTGGCTGCATTAACTATAGCATCGACAGGGTGTTTCGTGATGTCGCCTTTAAAGACGGAGATCTTTTTTGTTTCTTTCGTGAGGAAGCTACAAATAAACTCGGCGGAGGTTCCTTCAAATATTTTCTCCTCCTCTTCGTCTGAGATCAGCGAGGCTTCGATTTCGTTTCCTTCTTTTGGAATGATGATACAGCTGTTGGCGTCCTCAATCGATTTTAGCGATTTAGGTCCTTTACCCCGCAAGAAGAATTTCTTCATCCCTGGCCTATCAATCGGGATGGAGGCCGTCGCAATACTTTTGGTTAGCTCAAGAATTCTTGGTGAGCACCTCTTTAGTCCTTCTGTAGTTCCAGATACCTCTATACCCTTAGAGTCTGCAGCCATTCGCACGTCCACAGAACAGGTGGCTAGGTCTTTCTTAATTTCGTCAATTTTAGAGCTTAACCTTTCGAAGACGAACCGCGTTGAACCAGTGTCTAAAACGACGGTGTCACATAGTATAGTGTTTTTTTGAAGAAAGTCAATGATTTGATCGTAGCATTCTTTAACATCTTCCACAACTCCGCTAACCCACACAGTGCCCGAGGGAATGTCAACGACAATTTCAACTTTAGAATTAGATATGATTTGTGAGTGCAAACTTTTCCAACTACTGCTGCTAAGCACTTGGGCATTTTCGTCAGTTAAACGGATGCTGTTTTCTTGAATAGCGGCCAGCAAAGTTCTTTCTGCTTCTCGCGTGTTATTCACGTCAACACCGATGATTTTGATCTCGTTAGAGCTGTTGCTTTGGCCGCCATCAAAAATTGCCTGAATGTTTTTTTGCTTAAATAGATCTTTAAGGTGGCTCGACACTGATGGCTTTTTTAAAACATTTATGATGTTTGGTGCGAGCTCAATGGGCTTCTCAATCATCTTTGAAATCAGGGCAAAAACTTTGGCCTGCACATCTTTAAGGAGAACTCTGGGACCCTCAAATAACAACATCTCTCCGTCCATATCAAAAGAGATTTTCAAATACTGATGCTCGTTTTGGAGATTTTGGCAAACGCCAGACAGTTCCATTAGTCTCAATCGAGCCTTCGGTATGCCATCCTCAGTCACTTTTGCTACCGACTTCATAAGCTCAGTATCTTGTTCAACAGCACGGATGAAGTCTTCCATTCTCCTTTCCTCGTCACTTACTTCTTGAACCCTTCCAATGATGCGCGCTACTCGGTTTTGTACACCGAAAGATATTAGATTTGCGGATGTTTCTGTAGAGGATTGGGCGTTTCTCCAGCGCTCTGATACTTCATCGGCTAATTCAGCAGGAATGCGAACTTCAGCTTTCTTAAAACCTTGCAAGAAGCTCAGCAGGCGTCCTGATCTTTCTTGCCATAACTGTTTGGGAACGTTTCCCTTTTCTGAGTTGACGATTACGGCAACTTGCTTGTCAGGATCCATGCTAATGTTGACCTTGTTTTCCTCTGACAGAATCAGTAAATCATGATGGTGGTTAATTTTGATGTGTTCAAAAACTTCAGCATCAAATGGCTCTTCTATCTTCTTCGTGGTCGAGCTTTCGAGAAAAGGAAGATATGATCGTACTTCCAGATTCTTATCCTCGAGTTTGTGAACCTCTTTGCCGATTACACTCTGAACGGCTGTGAAGGTAAATAGTGAGAGTGAACAAATTTGATTCCGCACTGGTCATAATTACGGAGGGACAAACAGATGTAGTACTATTTAATTAAGTGCTAATCCATCACAGACACTATCATTGGTTTTATTGACCAGATCGTTACCTAAAGTGCGAACGTTACAAAAGGGACATCGTCTCTTTTGTCAACGGTAATGCTCTTTTATGAAGAGAATCATAATCCTCAAGACCGTTTGTATTGCGTAAAGGTTATCTCTCTCTCTCTGGTTGTAGCTTTCCTTTTAAAAGATCAATTATGTTAGAGCAAGAAGCCAATCGGTGGCCTGAATGAGCATGTTGAGATGCATGATGAGTAATTAACCAGATTCTTCCCTTAAAAGTTTCTCCTAGTATTACGAAAGCGAAATGAGAGATTAAAAACGATCTTACCTGATGCTTTTTCAAAGTGAACAATGGCACTACTTTTCGTGATACGTTCTACATGGCTGACGATGTCTCCACCGCTACGTCTGTTGCTTTCAAAATACAATTGTATGGTATCCATAGAGGTATTCTCACTAATTCCTTCGACTAAAATGGAGGAGCAAACAGGAACACGCTCCAAACGAGGTTTGCTTCCTTCAGGACCTTTATTGTCGCCGTGCACCTTACTGAAAAGCGATTCGAAGTCTGAAACGAGATTAATTTTGTGAGCAAAGAGAAATTCAACGGTAGTCTAAGGCACCTAAGTTAACGAGAATGTTTGTGCAACTGCTGAATACGGTTATTTGCCTAGTTTCATTTTTCGGAAATGCGGCTACTCTACCTCACTGAAATGATGGGGAAATGTTAAAGACTAGCCAAGGGAAAGGCTTAAACAAGTACCGTTCGTCGTACCTGGTTCGGCTTCAAATATTGCCACTGCATTGTTATTGCAACCTTTGATAACTTGTTTAACCTCAACACCGCTGTATTTCTCCAGGTATAAAAGTAGACAGTCTCCAGTAATTTTCTCGTTTAGACCTCGGACCTGCACTCGGATTGGGTCCAATGGTACTTTTTTTTTAGGTGGTTCTTTCTTCACTGAGATTACCATTCCATTGATAGAATGTGATTGGTGAAGAAGCTTTTGCAAATCTGTTGGAATACAACAGGAACAGAAGAAATCAACACGCTATAAATGATAACTGCAACAGCAACAACGATGATAATCCTAGTCTGGTTACTTGAGGGCTCGACCAAAACAAATGTAGCCTATCAAGGGTGATGGCTGACCTTGAGTCAAACACTGTTGCGCATGTTCGGGAAGATTGGTTAAGGCGATTAAGACTTAACTGCGCTGCACGAGCCGTACATTACGCCTAATCATAAGGTATTTGTAAATTACTCTCCGTGGGATAAATTAGTAAACGATTATATGAAAAAGATTTAAAAGTAAATGCACCTCAGTTGTAAACCCAATTTGTGCAAAACTCATATTATGAACCAACATAATAACCAGCTCCCAGTTGGTATAGCACTGTACCGGTATCGCAGAGGTCATGAGTTCGAATCCCGTACAGGCTTGAATTTTTTCAGGCCTTATTTTCACCACTGCTTAAGTAGTATTTATTACTGCGAAGATCGCTCTCATACTTAAAAATTATATTCGCTTCTAGTCTGTATCACTCGCCTTTGCTCTTTTACAAATCCACTTAAAATAGATCTAAATACTTTAAAGGGCTGAGAATTATTTCCAAAAATGTATAAAAAAATGAAAAGAGTAGGGATGCATTGAGGCAGTAAGTTAAAAAGTCTTCTTTTCTGAAACAGTGATTTTTTTTAAGGCTACCATGACTGACTGAAAGGCCTAGATGAGGCTAGCGAAACTGCTCACGGCACCATTAATTAACGAAGTACACATAACAAAATAAATAAATAAATAAATAAACAAAAAGAAACTTTCCTCATACATCGGTTCTCAAGGTGCGTGAACATAACCCCGAGAAATCAGTTGAATCGTATCATAATGTAAGATGTCACAAAAAGGTAAATGTTGTTGGTTTGCTCATTCTGTGGCCCCAGCTTTTATCATTTTCAAAGGGATGAAACGAGTGCATATCGATATTGCTGTTATCTCTCATGCCTAACAACAGAGTTTTTTTTTAAAGCGTTTGTGGCAGTGAACTTCCGTTTGAGTGATTTCTCTTATTACTTGTATAACTTTGAAATTCTTCATCGTTATGGGCTTTTCTCCACCATTAAATACCAAAACGGATACTTCATGTAGCCAACGTACCTTCCACCTCCTGAAAAGTTATCCAGGCTTCTCCATCTTCGGAAAAGAAAATTTCAGAAATAGCTCCTCCTCCAGATCTCCTTGAATTTTCAAAGTAATACCTTACGGTATCATTGGTGATGGGCGATGATATACCGCTGACAATTATTTTGATAGGGCCGTCTGAAATAGTGGTGTTGTCCTCGTAGTCATTTGGCAATTCATCCTCTCTCTCTTTGACGAGAGACACGTCAAGACGAACGCTGGACACGATGTGAGGGGAGTTATCCACGATTCTTTGAGCATCTGCAAACATTTTATGTAGTGAAAATCGAATGCCTAAAATATGACCAATGTAAACATTTCCTCTCGAGATCTCATCAATGGGCATGCTGAGACTGTTTGTTTTGTTTTTTTTCAGCTAGTTTAATTAAACTTCGCCTTCTCAAGTCGCAATAAACTGGTTGAAACGCCAAGGAAACAATTCTTTTCTAAAAATAGTCAATAGACAGAAAAAAGGATTGATATAGATGAGTCAATAATGTATAATTAAGCAGGTGAGTAAGTAAATGGATATTATTAATAAATGGATATTAATATGGACAAGTAAATAATGAATAATTAAGCAGGCGAGTAAGTAAATGGAACTTTCGTAAAAGAAATTGAGTGTTTATGTCAAGTGATTGAATAGTGTCTCCATAAGACCTGAAAACGACTAAACTTGAGCACTAAAAATTTTTACAGGAAACGAATCATCACGACTGCTTAGAAAATTGCTAAAGAAGAAAATTGTTTCAAATCAAAATTTCAAATGCCGCCAGTAAAAATAGGGATAAAAAAAGATCTAAATATATACCTTCAGGATTTTTAAAAGTGACCAAGCAAATTTGAAGATCAGGTTTCATGTCAATAGAAGAGACTGGACCACCTTCAGATCGCCTTGGATTCTCGAAGTAGAGGGTCAAGAGATCTTTTGATAGGTTTGGCAACACACCCTTTACTTTGACTGTGCACTGCTTCGGCACGGGAGGTTCATTAGGATGTCCTTGCTGTTCTCTATCGAATTGCTGGGAAACCGGTAAGTCCTGGAGATCTCGCCTTCTTCTATGTCTGGCTTGGCATTCTTCAAATCGCTAGAAATAATAATATGAACTTGTAAGGTGTTCTCAGTGTAATGCCCTGGTGGTGAAAAGACTTTGCACCTACGTCAAACTACTCAGTATAAACCACTTTATGTTAACAGTAATGATCGAAGCATTTGATATAGATAGAGAAAATCTGTGTTCATCATTCTAACAAGTCCTTTCAGTATATTTACTTGATTATGTCGTTCTTGTTCGTACTCATCATATTCATCCTCCGAGTCTGGATGGAATTTCACCTGAAGTTGGCAATTCTGGAGGAAATGGCCATTTCGGCGAACAACCCGCCGGGCGGCTATCGAAAAGAAATGGACATGAACATCACTATAAAAATAAAGTGAAAAAAAAAACGAACCTATATAAAAACAGCAACAAAAACTTGCAAGAATTGCTCACCTTACACGTCTCATCATTGTTAATTTTATCAATTTCATTTTTCACAAAATCATAGTTTACTTTCCATATTTAAGAGCCTGTATTGTTGATGGTGCATTTTGTTTCCGTCCCAAATGATTCCAGTACTTTTTACAGCACCCATGCATCATGATAAATAATCAAGAGAGAGGAACCAGACTGAACATTTTTACAGAGATGGTATCCCATGTTTTCGAAAAAGATCAATGCACGCTGGAAAGAAATTGTGGTGAAAAACACATGTATTTCCAACATTTATGGGATTTATTTGTCAGTAGTATTACCTATGTGCAGGAAGTAACACAAACTTCAACTAACCCCTTGTATACGTCCGAAATATTTTCTGAGAATTATAAACCACCGGTAACCCTCTCTCCTCTGCTTAACAACATGAAAAACAGTCCACATCTATCTATCCATCCATCTATCTATCTATCTATCTATCTATCTATCTATCTATCTATCTATCTATCTATCTATGTTTTAATCTGCAAAGGGCAATACTGCCCATCTCGGCAGATATACCCACCCATCCCATCCCAGGGGAGGACATCCACCACACAGTAATCTCGTGCGTGGGAAATTAACGTCTCCTACACCTAACCCTGCGGGAGACGAGGCCTACGGTTTATTCTTCCGCGAAGACTAGAATATCCATTTATTGATATTATAGAAAGGTAGCACATTTTCCTCAGTTCTAAGACCCTGAGTGTTGGTCCGGCTGGTGCTTGAAACCTTCGACCTGTCGGACAACAATCCGGCGCTCTACCAATTGAGCTAACCAGGAGGCGAAGGAAATGATTTCAATAAACTTTCGTGTTCATATAAAAACCAGTTGATCGAAAAGTAAAATAACTCGTGACATTTTTAAATGTGGCGTATCATTTAGGTAGATTATATATCAAATAGATTATATGCCTCTAGCATATGTTTTTTCATATGTATTCCTTTAGGAAAGGCAAGGATTACTAAAGGGTTAAACGGAGAAGAGAATCAACTTCCAAACGTGAATGGGTAAAATAACAAGATCCTTATAAGACTATCTATTGATTTCATTGACAATAGAACTACGGTTCTCAGAGCAATAGTCATGAGTTTTGATGGAAAATTACTGAGCCATCACCAATCTGTATAAGATGTTGCATGTTCCTCGAGTTCGTCCTACTTGTCTCTGTAGTAACATGAAGTCCTGTAAAGGCCGCTGACCGGCAAGCGGCAGGAAAGAACCCGAAAGGATTCATTAAAAGCTTGTGTTCTCACCGATCTGTGTAGTATTTGAGAATTCGTGTACCGAACATAAGTCTCCAAACTCAGTGATACACTGAGCAAGTTTCAACTCCTTCTCCCTTCCTCCACCTCTTTCCTTTTAGGTGCATTTTAAGTATTGCTATTTTTATCATGCCCTAACGTTTGCTAGAGGTTAGGCGGTCAAAATCCGATCGTCGCATTTGCCATTGAAGTTTTAGGCAATACGCCTTATTCATAAATGGCGGACGCGCGGTTAAGACCTGAGCCGAGTTCACCAACACGAGGCCTAGGAGGCATCGCAAGAAACATGGCGTTGAAGTCAAACATTTACTGTTGCGTACCATTGTGCACACAAAGAGGGGGTGTTGGATCAAAAGGAGAGCAAATTGAATTACTTAAGTTTCCAGACGAAGAGGAAATGAAGAAACGTTGGATACATACTATACGTAGAGATTTTGGTAGATTTTTTTGCATCTCCGAGGCATCAAAAGTGTGTTCGTTACATTTCAAGCTTAGGGACATATCAAAGGGTCTTGGTGGACGAACATCTCTGAAAACAAATGCAGTTCCGTCGATATTTTCTTGGAAACAAACTTCACTACGAAAGTGACCGCCCCCTACCGAGAGGCCTTATCTACGACTGCGAAAAGAGAAGAGATCTGTCCCAGAAAAAGAGTCTTCTTCAGTGTGTTCGGAGCCTGGCAAAACACCTGAAGCCGCAAACGATATTCCTGAAACAGGTACTAACGAAACCACTATGTTAGGAGCCGCCAGTACCAGTCTTAATAAAATGCCTTCCACTGAAAAAGATCTTAATGGGACCCTCAAACAATTAAGGCCACTTGAAAAAAAAAATGCGCAAATCTCGAATATATAGTTGCAGATTTGGAAGACAAAAATAAAGCACTTCAGTCAAACGTCTTCTCACTTAGTCGGTTTACCTCTGATGAGGCAATGTTGTTTTATACAGGCTTTCCTAACTACAAAGCATTCTTGGCATCCTTTGAATATTTAGATCCGGGAGATAATGGAGAAAATGTCAGGTACTGGTTGTCAGGTGAAAATAAGATACCCTCAGAAACACTATGTCTCCACCACAGTTAGGTGTAAAGAGAGGTAGACCAAGATCAATCAAACCACAAGAAGAATTTTTTCTCACTTCGTGTCGCTTAAGACAGGGATTTTCAGAAACCCACCTTTCCCACCTGTTTAATGTTTCTCAGGCAACTGTTAGTAGAATTGTTATTAGTTGGATCAATTTTATGTGTCTTCGATTTGGAGTGCTTAACATTTGGCCATCAAGAGAAGCTGTCAATAGAAAAATGCCTGAAGACTACAGGAAGTCATATCCATGTACAAGAGTTATTATTGATTGTACAGAAGTGAAGTGTGCAATGCCTAGTAGCTTGTTGCTGAATAGTGAGTTGTTCAGTGCCTACAAGAATCATACTACACTAAAGGGACTTGTGGGAATTTCTCCATCTGGTGCTATCACTTACATAAGCCAACTGTATACAGGAAGTATATCAGACAGAGAAATTGTAGAAAGGTCAGGCATGCTTGACCTGCCATTCAATGAAGGAGATTCCATGATGGCAGATAAAGGTTTTACTATAAGTGACATCTTACCTTAAGGTGTTTCTTTGAATATTCCACCATTCTTTGGAACATCCACACAAATGTCCCTGGAGGATGTTGTGAGAACTCAGGAGATTGCACGATTGAGGATCCATGTCGAACGTGCAATTAATAAAATTAAAATTTTTCATATATGGGATAGCGTTGTCTCACTGAATCTCTTTGGCAGTGCAATTCAAATGTGGTCTGTTTGTGCAATTCTTTGCAACAATCAAGACCCAATTTTAACAAGCTGACACAATAGAAAGCTTTAGACAACTGATTTGTAATTTTTATCTTGTTCACTGTTTTGGCTTAAGAAGGGTGTGTTGTAGTAATGTTTACTATCTAGGTCTTGGAGCTTTTTATTTTCTTTCAATGAAATACACACCACTGAAATGATTATGATACCTGTAAAGGAGTGGCCAAAAATTACAGGGGGAGGACCTGGACACATGACCTAACCCCTTACCTTTGGATTAAAAAAAACTGACTGACCCCAAAATAGAGGTCAGAAATTAGATTACCTCCCCCTCTGCATGGGAAAAGAAGATGACCCAGCCCTTATGTGTAGTGAAAAATCACAGAGCCCACACCTTTTTGAAGGATCGATAAAGTAATGACCCACTCAGGTATGCCTTTTGACCAGCCCTGTAAAAGTGGACACTAATGAGTGGTTTGTGATTTTGATACAGACTTACAATTTTACAGTCTTTGTGAGCTTCAAATCTATTGGATTTACCCCTTAGGATATTTATCAAATCATTCTGAGATTTTATGCATTAAATGTTTGATTATGATGCTGTTGTAGAATGTCAAACCACCACAGCTTTTGTACATGATGGTGCAAATTCAGCTACAGCATACTTAATGAAATTTGTAAAATGATATTGCCAAAGCTTCTCCTGAAGCTCAACCCAGTAACCTCTGTCAAAGGCAATTCTTTCAATTGACATTCCTTTTTTAGTGTAAACAACAAAATCGCACCATTGTGCACCAGTACAGCCCATTTGGCCCTGAACTTGGGCATAGTAAGCATGGGTTCTTTTCAGCTTGCACA